GGCTGTAAGATAAATCAATCAATCCATCGTGGTGTTCACTCGACGGGACCTTACAAGTTTTTAAAGAATGTTGAAAGAGTGATATAGATGGTTTAGGATTATTGAAAAGAAAAGCGAGCGAGGATGTAAAGAAAGAACAAAAATTCCATACGGTATTGCACATGTTCCGGCCTAGCACTAGGTTTTAGGTAATATGCCGATATAAACTATCAATTACGTTAAATTTGCGCATCATTTTACGATGATTTTCCGTTTATTTAGTATTTGTGTTTCATGTAGCAGACACAAATTAAGCCCATGCAAAATTCCCTTCATCGTCATGATTATTATTCGGCACTTCTGCATGCAAAAAAAAAACTGTTCGTGAAACATTTAAATGTTCCCATCATACCTTGGGAAACGTCACTTTCTCGCAGTTTGTACCACTCCACCATTTGGGCAAATTAACCGTTCCCGTAAGTGCTTCAGGAGGCCCTCCTTGATAGGCAGCCCAATCAATGCTGGTGAAAGGGGTAAATTTCTCTTTTTTCCTTCCTGCTTGCAAGGCACAAACTGTAAAGTTTTTTGCGCTGATGTTTTCTGTCCATGCAGTCACCGCGTCGTGGACTTTAACAGAGTTATTCAATTTGATGTGATTGACAGTTATTTGGACATGAACCTGTTTATCCGGGTAGAACCGGTATGGTGGAAATGTGACGGTCTGACAACTTGAATCGAGCCATTTTGGAACACGGAGAAGGTCTTCTCGGCCCCGCACAATAGGAAAAACTGTTCAACAAAAAAATTATCAACTTAAAATACTATTTGGTTCATGTAGTGCTTTTAATCATATTTACATAATTATCTATTTGATTGTTTTTGTATTGTATTGTCTTCTGTTAGTGTCACTGACCTTCCATGTAATTCAGCCTTTAGGCTGCGAGAGGGATATCAATAAACTATTATTATTATTATTATTATTATTATTATTATTATTATTATTATTATGTGAATAATCTCATGATTTCAATGTCTGTAATTCATATGCGCTGCGCTTCCGATCAACTGGATACCGAAGCGCGCCCAAGTTTGCTTATGCCGTATTTTTTGGGGGGGAATATTTTCTAGTGAGCTTGCGTTGCTTGTTCAGTTGTAATGTTACGAATTTCCTTTTTGTTTTGTGTTGTTAATGACTACTACAAAAATGTCCTGTGCTCAGTACATGTGCTGCTCTTTTTGTGGGTGGCCATGGCCACTCCCAAAGGTTTAATAGAGTAAAAACTAATTGTCCAATTAATCGCATTTTAGGCATTATACTGATGATTACTTCCTCCATTTAGATATTTACAGGAGCAACTTATATTTACAGTCTCTCGCCCATGAATTTATTTGCTAGAGCTCTTATTGTATCCAGTCCTTTCACATAAAGCAACAGTGCTGACAACAACGAGGATGCGTAATAACGTGACTTTGTTGAGCAGAGCCACTTCAAATCTTCGTATGGGGTTTTAGGAGGACTCTGTTATAAATAAACGGTGGGGCCTATACCCGCCAGGGCTTATAACTAAAGTAGAAACAGCACTTCGGAGATTCTTCGGAACATCTTTAGCAGTAACTGATCAAAGTAAGTTTTACATTTACTGGTTATTAAGGTATTCCTGGGCCCAGTTGTTCGAAGGCCGATTAGAGCTTAACCTGGGGTTAAATTTAATCCTGGTTTAGTTTTCTTGTGCTCAAAAGCATTTTCTCGGATAATTTTCTCTGTTATTTTTAGAGCTTTCAATCATCAACCTGTAGGCAAAAAGAATTGAAACTGAAATGCTTTTTAAGCTTTCATATCTGAATTCAAATCTCGCACTAACCCTGGGTTATCTTAACCCAGCTTTGAACAACTCGGCCCTGGAGACTAATTATCGCATTTTTACCATAATTCTGCGTGCTTTATATAATGGGAAGCAGGTTTTCAAAATCTACCACATTTTACCATTGTTTCAGATTTAAAACGTTAATAAAAAA